TTACACTTACTTCAATTATCGATAAACTGTTTGATAAAGTGAATTATCAATAATCTGTTCCATAAAGTTCACATACATTTTTTGGAACTTGCCCTTCACGTTACTTTTCAGAAAGCATGATATTATCTTATCTTCAAGCTTTTTTTTAGCCTTCATTAATCATCTTATATTATTATAAAAACTAAGAAGGCACCAGTTTTCAAGATACAAGCTTTTCAATTGATTTTAGATAAATTTTCTTGATAAAATCACTTTGCCTATATTTTACTATTTATCGATAACTTGTTTCATAAAGTATGATCCATAATGACTTTGATAAGTGAGTCTATGTTTTAGAATTGCTTCACTTTCTATTAATTGATAACTTTATCGATTAAAGGCTTATCCATCAGGTCTTCAATAATTTGATTCTCTGATTATTTGATCTTTGATTTATGATTTCACTTCTTGTATTAAAGTTCAAAGATCATCATCTATTCTATTAATTGTTCACTTATATTCCTTCTTGAAGAAATCTTATTTCTCTACCAAGATACTTCTACAGATTATGAAGCTCAACGGTTATATTATAGGCTCAAGTTACTGTGTCAGAAGTGCATTTATTATGAACAATTGTTGCAACTACCAACACAAACAAGCAATATCCCAACGGTTACAAGCTCTTGAAGAAACTTCTACGGATTACGAAGCTCAACGGTTATATTATAGGCTCAAGCTACTGTGTCAGAAGTGCATTTAATTCAAACAACTGTTGCAACTACCAACACACATGAGCAATATCCCAACAGTTACAAGCTCTTATGTCTAACACAAACTTGAAAGACTCTAACTATAAATGGTGCAAAGAGCATTAAATGAAGCAGTGAATGAACCGAGTTACCGATTGTCGAAGTTAATCTTTATATTCAATACTTTGTTTTCTATTTCTGAGCATCACTATTTATCCCATACACTCTTAAGAGAAAGTCTGTAAATTATTTATTACTTTCAATGAGTGACTAAAGAATCTAGGATTCTTGAGGGGATTGTAACCTTATGGGAAGTAAGGGGGAGTGATTGAAAGTGAGCTCTTTTACTATACTGTGATACCAAGAGCCCATTAAATCTTGAGATTTAGTGAAAAACTCAGAGGCACTCTGAAAACTAAATGTAGGTCAAGTGGTTGTGATCGAATCGGTATAAACCCTACGTGTTCTACTTCTATTCATCTTTGGTGAAATCCTTCTAAACTTGTTTCCTTTGTATAATCCAGTTGTTTATTTTATAAAGTCAAATTTTTATATATATCCCCTTTTGGGTGAAACTGTCACTAACAGCTAACTTTTGGCTTCTATCATCATATTTTTTGCAACCCATTATTACACCACTTTCCATATTTACGCTCTTCTTTTTTCTGCCAACAAGTCCTCTCCCCCCTTTCCTCTCTCCCCCCTTCCTCTCTCTTGTTGCATTGGGTGGGTATGTTGAATGAGTTTTCTTTTTTATTATTTTGTGTGTTGTAATCTATAAATGATCTTTTATTAAATGATATTTTTTATTATATTTTTTGCTACCTTTGATTTTTAATTATTTTAATTATTTGTAATTTTTATATATTTATTTATTAAATATATCTAATTAAATATGTTTAGGTATTTACAAATTTTTCTTAATAATATATTAACTCCTTTATTTTTATAATTATAATATTTTTAAATTTATCAAATTATATATCTATAATATATTTTTTTAAAGTTTTAATCATTTTATATCTAAACTTTTTTTTTTTTTATCCAAACAAGTTTTAATTTGTCAAATTGACTTTTCTACAAATGTCAATTGAAACATGGATCACGTTACACTAATTGAAGACTTGAAGTTGACTATCCTAACAGTCCAACTATTACCATTTAATCCCCCCCCCTTTTTGTATGCACTCGGTATCTCCCGCTCGCCTCTTGTCATAAAGAATCTATGGGTCCATACTAATACTCATTTGAGGGATGTGAAACTCTTATGGTTGGTACCTCTATCATAGAGGTTCAATGTTGCTGCGTTCCCAAATCCTGAACTCAAGATTTATGACTAAACTGAAACAGTCTCCTAACCAGTTAATCCAAATGCTCGATGATTTACCGTCTGGTCATTGGTGTGTCTTTTATGTCTTTGATTTTTCGTTTGTTAATTAATGACTTATGCTTTGGCTGTTGAAATTGAACTTACTCCTTCAGTTCTTAATATAAGAGTTAGTTGACTAATTTGAATATATTAAAAAAATCAGTTAAGTTGTTTTTTTATAACAAGTAGGTGTTATTTTCCTTAAAATATCCTTGCTAATTATATGTATTAGTTAGAACTACCATTTGATGAAACATTTAATGTGTGCAACTACTACAGGGACTACCTTGTGAAAAATAAATAAATATGAGAGACAAAGTAGATTGAGGTATTATATTTAGGACTAATTAAAAATCAAACTAGCTCTTATATTAAGGACTAGATATAGTATTAATGAACTCTCAAAGTGCTAAGATATATTTCACTCCATTGTTCCTCTGAATATTCTTTCTGGTTTATCTATAATTCGTTCACATTATGTTGGTGCACATATTAAGGGAGAGCAGCCTTAATACTAATCTGTTGCATTACGGCTTTTGTCATGATCAAAAAGGGGCAAAAATATTCGATTCTCATGTTTTGATGATTATGAAACTTGGAGAAGATTGTTTTGCAAAAATAAAAATATAGTCTCGATATAGTCTATGCATTTTCATAAATTGGAAAGTTGAACTTTTATCAAGACATAATTTTGTATAGTCTCATTATTCATTTAATAGAATTAAGAAAAATGAGAATCATATCATACGTGATAAGGATATTCTAACAACCACACTATAAATTCCTAAAATCGAACACTTTTCCTGTATTGAACTTCGCAAACTGTGTATTTTCCTTATTCAACTCTAATCAATCTTCCTTGGACCACAAGAAGTTGTCATCTTATCCTCTTTAGGGCTGAAAGCATGTGGCTGATATTTGCTTTCTTATAAACTAACATATAATCTAATAATACATATAATTATTTTAAAAAAATCATGTAAACTAAGTAATTTGGCAACTAATTTCTTTATTTTTCGAAACTAGTCAGCTAGGTCATATCTTAAGGATGGAAGTTAGCATATTCTACCTTTCTCATGTGTACTTCACTAACCCTATGTGATTGGAATACTAAAGTAACATTAGTGCAAATTCTCTCAGAACAAGATTCCCGATTCCATTAGGAAACCTTGCCTAACACTTTAAAGTAAATTGGCGTAATAATAGATATGGCCTGCGTGGAAAGGAATGAAATTAAAAGGTTTGTTAAAAAGAAACGCTAATGAATAAAGGACAAGCAGAAAGTGGTAATTAATCATGGTGCGTTTCATAATTAATCCCACTACAATTAATCTGTTTCTAATCTATGGATCGGAGATATTCTTTCTGATTTATCTATAATTCGTTCTCAATTATGTTTGTGCACAGGTTGATGATTGCAAAACATAGAGAAGATTGTTTTGCAAAGATGAAAATAAATAGTTAATTGAAAGAATGAGCTAAAGAATCAAATCAGTCTACAAGTGATTGAAGAGCACACAAAGGTCTGTTATATTTGGTCTGAAAATCTTCAACGTGGTTGAGAAATTTATAACAGAGTAAATCAAAAAGGTTTTCAAAAAGAAATGATTTTCATAGAGCCAAGGTCTTCATAACTTAATCTTTTCTGGTTTTAAAATTCATTCTATTTACAATTATGTATTTTTGTGGACAATTAGATCTTGTTCTTGATATTCTCGAAGGTTTGTTGACAGATACTTGGCTGTGTTTATCCACAAGCGCCTTCTTCCCAAAAAAAATATATATATATATATATATATTATTGAGAATCTGTTGCGTTTGTTAACAATCGCCTTGCTCTGTTTTGCTCTGTTGCGCATTTCTTTTACTTTTCAAAAGTGACAAGCATTTCAAATTGAATTTTTTTCACTTTTCACTAAATCTGTTGTTATAGATTGTATTTTTTTTTTAATCAGATCAGTGCCAAGTTGAAAGAAAAACAGGTAACACATGTTCATACCAGATAAGCTTCCAAAATATGAAAATGAGTAGTTGGACATTTCCTTGCTCTGTTCTGTTGTAACAAAGCCGTGCCAACTATTTCGGGTGATGTCGTTTGCCCAGTTTGTTGATAAATCTTCTGCTTTTGGGGTAGTCTGTTACCTATCAAACGCATTAATTACGGGTGTGGTAAACGATACTTTTCCCTGAGCAATAGTTACTTTCTTGTGCCCAACGACTAATAGGAATTTCTACCATAAATAGACTTTTATTGAATGATTTCATCTACCTTTGAACTGCGCATCAACTAATTTGCCTTTAAGTTAACAGTGCTATGTCATAAACACTCAAAATTACCCTTGTTCTTCAATGTGCGTCACATTTACTCATTCTATGAGGTCATATCCTGGTCACCTAGTGATCATTTACTTTCTTAACTTTTGAGAGGCATGCTTATTGGGAGATAGAACGAAGAAAATGGTATATGATGTCCTTAAAGCACGAGCAATACTTTCTTTTAGGCTTAGTTCACTCTCACCTTTCCTATTTTATAACGTGAACGCTGGACTCACCAAGTTTCCTTCCTGATATAATGAAAATCCTTAAGTATCGATTGCACAATGGCCTTTATAAATGATCATTTATATTTATCTATATATGCATCTAAAGACAAAGGTAATGGGTTTGATATTGTATGTTTGTGTAGTGTTGTGTGCAAATACAGTGATGGTGAGGGGTTTGTATAGACCATGAAATGATGATTTGAAGAGATACTTCTTGGAGCAATACATCTTTAATTAAAAGTCAAAACCATATATTAGTTTATGAACCAACATAATTTAAGTAACCAAAGGTTATTTAATATTATTTCCATAAAGAGTTATCTTTTTTTTTTTTTGGTGAAAAGACAGGAGCTAAGCCCATTACATTACATGGCCATTACAAACGGTATAAACCCTCCGGGGAATCTCAGTTCCAGCTAAGTCTTCATCAAGGATCCGCCATATTTCAGGTGGTGGCATGTCCCAGATGGTTCTCGATGAATCTTGTTGTAAACTAAGGTGAGCTAGCTTGTCGGCTGCTTGGTTTCCTTCTCTAGATACATGATTAATCCTGATTTACCAATCCCCTTGCAATAGTTCCTGAATTTCCTTAAAGACATGCATATGTCGTCATCGCTCTTTGTTCTGAACTAACAGGCCCACCACTTGCTTAGAGTCACATTCCACTTCAATTTTCATGAATGCCATGTCTCTGCATAGTTCTGGTCCTACCAAGATACCCCACGCCTCAGCTTCTATCACCTCACAACATGCTAGTTGTGCCAAGAAGCCCTTTAACCACTCTCCACCATCCCCCCTGCTGCTCCTCCGCATCTTACTGTTCCTTCTACCGTGCACATTCTGTCGGTGTTCAATTTACACCATCCTAATTCAGGTGGCTTCCATGAAACCTGTTCAGTCCTTATATCAATTTCATTCATGGTTTCCTTGTCCCACTTGTGATGGTAATTTGCCAAATAGTTGTAGATCTCCTTTTCTGGTTCTCTCAGTAAAATGAATTCTTGGTCATGCAGTTGTAGATTCCGCCATCTCCATATAAACCAGCAACACATTGCCAATTTCTCCGCCCAGCAGATCTCCTCCTTTTTATTGCTTTTGTCGCTAGTGTTCTTTTGCAACCAGTCATGCCATTCATCACCCACGAATTCCACCCTTTTGCTGTAAGGCAGTAGGCTTCTCTATATGGCCATGGCGTATGGACAGTCCCTCAATGCATGAAGCATGGTCTCTGTTTTTACTTTAGCATAAGTCACATGGGTGATTTCCTCCATTCCACTTATTTGTGATCTCTTCCGTGGCTAGTCTTCTATGGAACATCCTCCATTGAAATATTCTAACTTTCTCAGGCACCCTGAGTTTCCAAATCAGTCTTCAGTTGCTTTGATCCATATTACTAGTGTTTCCCTTGACTATCTCATAGGCACTAGCAGTAGAGAATTTTCCATTCTTTTCATTTTTCCACCTATACTGCACCGTGTTCTCTGCAATTTCATTCCTAACCCGTCTAGCCTCCACATTGACCTGGAAGGTATCCCACCTCCTGGCCATTTCCTTCCATAATTGAGAGTCAGCTCCTTTGGCAATTAATCTTTTGCCTGACCTTCTTCCTCTCCCACACTTCCCCATAATCACCTTGACCCATAGCTCCTCTGGGGATGTATGTATTCATTCTCCACAGTAGCTTGGTCAGGAACGCATCATTCATGCCTCTTAAGGACTTTATTCCCATACCTCCTATATCTTTTGGTTGGCACATCTTCTCCCACGCAAGTGCATGCCAGTTCTTCTCCTCCTCCGAATCTCCCCTCACAAACTTTCGCTCCTCTTTTTCTATTTCTTCTATTATACTCTGTGGTAATCTATCATGTTGCATGGGGTATAAGGCCATGGAGCTAGTCACGGCTTTCACCAATGTAATTCTTCCTGCCAACACTAAACTAGCCACCTTCCAACCACTTGGCCTTCTCCGCACTCGGTTAACCACATATCTATACTTCTGTTTACTGCTTCTTGGAAACGCTATATTTGCACCCATGTATCTGCCACTATCCTCCACCTCTTTAAAGCTGCTTCTTTGACATATTGCTCTTTGTCGGTGAAAGAGTTATATCTTTTAGTATGTAAGGTTGCTTTAAAAAAGCAACACAATTTTTCACGTGGTGGTGATTATCATTAACACTACTACAATGAAGACTTTTTACTTCTGTTTTGTATGACTTTTTACTTTTGTTTTGCGGGGAACATGAAAAGAAAGGACATAAAAAGTACCCCCTTTTACTTCTGTTTTAAACAGAAGACGATAATGGTATTATTTACGTCTGTTTTAAATATTAGAATGGTGGAGAGTATATGAGCAGTCAACTGCTTCAAGAGGTAATAGAATAGTGGTCTAGGGATTGATCAAGTTTATGTTTAGTGATAATAGGTTATCAATTTTGACTTTTGCAATTTGTTCTTCTTTTTTGACTAGTTAGTTAATGTGTCAATATATTGATGAAGTTATGATGTTCATATGTCTTGGCTGAAAATATTGACTGGTTCATACTATTCCAACTTGCTGGAAAGTGGCTATTATGGCTATTGTGGCTGTAGGGGAAGTGGTATATATGAAGTGAATTTTTTTTTTAAAAAAAAAGAACACATTCACGTCTGTTTTAGGTAATAGAAGTAAAAAAAAAATCATATTTTTAACCTCTATTTTACACCAAAACAAACGTACATTTATCTCTTAAAGCAGTTGCCGTGCCAAAAGGTCTTGGATGAAGTCAATATCATCAACAGTATATGAGCAGTCATTATCAAAAATTTGTAAATTGACAAATGAACAAATTTAAACATATGAAGAAAATAAAATAAGTAACAATTCAATTTAAAAATTCAACTATTACAAAACTAAAATTATATTTACTTACCTCATTAAATTTTGTAGTACATCCACTCTCAATAATTTCAAACATATAACGGATAATGTAATATCTGCACTCTATTGACCCTCGTTGCTTAGCACACCACAAATCACAAGGAAATGATAATCCAAATTCATATATAAAATAACTGTCATCAATGAAAGAACTTCAATTCAAAGTACTCACACTAGGATAGACCCAAGTTGTTAGGCCATTTTTGTCAGAACGCTTCCCACCGGTTATATAATAAGTCTTTAAAGCCCTATAAGCAAATGAAAGCACAAGTTAAATAATTTATAGTGAAAACAAAATTATTGATCTACATTAAGGTACTTTCGTGTTGAAAACGCCCCTCATCTTAGTGCTTGGATGACGACCCAAGGGATCAAACCAGTAGATGACATTGTCGATTGAACAAGAAACACACAAACTCCAATAACGACTGCATCATAGAGTAAGACTTATATATCAATGGATATCACAATAATTCTTAGCAATTTAAGTATGTATAAATAAATATAATTAAACTACTTGCCCTACAATAATTGGTGCCAAATAACAAGGAATTTAGTGTCTCCAATCATATTGCCCACATATCTGATTCTCCTATCTAGTGGGTTGTACTTCTTCTGAACACTTATAAGGCATAAATATCCATACAAATTTCTCTTCTCCATTGATGACATGCATTTGTTATGGAAAAAGCTATCATTGAATTGAAATAAGATAATTATTAGTATGTGCAAAGTAAGAAATTAGAAGTTTAAGTTAGAAATGAAAAAATAAACTTACATGATTGCTAATTGAACCCATGCTATGTCCAACTACTTCAAACCTTGATATCTTTGTTGTCAAGTCCAAAGAAATTTGATTTTTCTTCACCCACAATCCTTATAGGCATCTTTATATTGACCTTGCTAATTGTTTTATATTCCTCATATAATTGTGCCAAGCAAGGATATCTATTAACATCTTTCTCGTCCTAATGAAACATCAAATAAACATAATAAGTATTATGTTAAAAAAAATTCACACAATATAGCATGACATTTTCTTACCATCACAGGTATTATCTCCTCATCAATAAGGTGTCTAGGCCAAAGAATGAAAGATCCAATTGCCTGACCTAACTTCGCAACTTCAGTAGTTGGGAATGGCACATCCGCACCTGTCTCTCCCTCTCAAACAGTCGTAACTGTAACCCTTACTTGGTCCTCTTGAATTTGTTGGTGATGGATGGTGCTCCCTTGATTGTAGAGGAGAGCGTCAGCAACAACACGCATCCTTGGGACCTCTAAACGAAGACAATAAGGTTGTCCAAAGTCCGGCATGGGACTAATAGGATCATGCTCTCCCAATGCCCCTGGTGGATAACAACTATCTTTAGTGCTAGGAAAGACGGGGGAATCCTAAATGAGAGAAATGCAAGTATTAAATTAAATAAGAAAAACGTTAGTAAAACTCAATATCAATTTAAGTGAAATTGATTACAAACCTGGGGTGTGCATTGTTGTTGAACTGTCCCAATTTGCATGCTAGAGACCATAGATTTCATTTCATCACGAAGCTCAGTCATAAGCTCTTGTTGAAGTGACTAGCATAACTGGGCCTCAATCTTGACCTTTAGCTCATATTGGAGCTCATCACGAACTTGGTCTCGAAGTTTAGCTATCATCTCGTCAGTGGGTTGACTTCGTAGAGAAGCTCGTGAAGTTTGTCCAAAATATTGGGTAAGACCAATTGTCCTCCCTTCTCCGCTAACATGTCCGGGGTGATCAGGCTTCCCAATTGCTGTCACTAAAATGTCCATCCTTCCACTCGAACTAAATGAACCTTTGCTATTTTGCTCTTCAAGTACCTCCTATAACATTTTAAGTATGATAAAAAATTAATGACAAAGTATAAATGAAAATTAATGACAAAGTATAAAAAATATTACCATAAGTTAAAGTTATTTGAATTATACAATTTACAATTGTTTTAGCAATCTCAGCAACTACTGGATTAGTATACCAACCCTTCTTCATCCTTACTTCCTTCCATTTTCTATGACGTGGAGGATGAGGTGGGGTTTGAACAACAATACTAGGATCAGATTTTGTAGCTTCCTGCATCGCCTTCAAGTCATTCTGCATGATCCTCTCCTCAAGCATCTTGTAACCTCTATGAGATAAATAGTGTGGATATAAATTTTTAGCTTGCCTTTCTTTATTCACCACACTTAATTCCTGTGAAAAAGAAAACAAAGTAAATTGAGTAAGTGAAGTAAATTAAATCAAAATTAAATGTTTTATAAGGCAAAACACCTTAAATTTAGGATCATGACGTGACGCCGCAAACCTCCTCCAATCATCTGGATCAAGGAAGGAGTATTTTTCACACAGATCATCATCTTTCTTAGGCCCTTACACATACTGGCTTGTGAGTGTGTGCTTGAAATCTTTCCAGTGCTGACGAACTTGCTGCAACAAATGCTTTTTCATTTGCTCAGTATGAGGGATGTCATGCGTTTGCTGCAAAGAAAAATATATATGTTTAAGTTAAAGATCTCAGTTATAACTATATTTACAAAAAAATAAATCAAATAAAATTAGAAAGTGATATACCAAAATATATTCCCAAATCCTATCTTTCGTTTCCTTAGAAATTCATTCCAATTAGGCCATAGAATGTTAACTTTGCTTTGGGCAACAGAGCCTATATAGCTAATGAATCTATTCTTCTCTTCACCAATTGGATTCATATTGACATCAAAATCCACATGCTTCTTCTGAATACGACCATGACATACTGCTAACTTTGGTAGCCTTGTACTACCTCTAACCTTCCTTCCTTTTGGCTTATTGACATCATCACTGTCACAATCCTCCTCCATATCTCTATCACAATGTAAAACCCTTTACCTCA